CTTTATCTCACACACGGAAAGATGTTAATGTGTGCGGTGGTGTGGTGTGTGTGTGGTGTTGTGTGTGTGTGTGGTGTGTGTGTGTGTGTGTGTGTGCGTGTGTGTTTGGGTTTTGGGTGTGTGTGTGTGTGTGTGTGTGTGCGTGTGGCGGGTGCGTGTGCAGTGTGCGTGTGTGTGGTGTGTGGGTTTGTGTGTGTGTACGACACGTGTTTTTAATACTTTCATCACACCGCCTCTTCCCGTGATGGGAATGTTTGGTAAATATTGGAAAAAGAATGTACAAAAGATGAAGTATGATATTAGGGTGCTACAATTAGTGGAATCGTTTTAACAGGCAGGGACCCTATTGTACGTGGAACTCTATATCACTTTTATGTATAAAATTTTGATGAATCTATGGTTGTCTATAAAAATCGATATTTTGTTCTTGTATGCGATTTCCACAATCGATCGTATAGGAATGAGGAATACTGAAAGAAGTTTTATATATATTCATGAAGGAAATTATTTGAAAGAAAAATCATTTTGAAGGTATCCATTACTTGTTTTGAAGGTAAATATATTATTTGGACGGAAGTCCATTATTTCAAGAAAATTCAATTATATGAAGGTAAATCAGTTACTTGAGGCAAACACATTACTGAAAAGTAAAATCAGCTACTCCAAGAGAAGCAGTTATATAAAGGAAAGAAAGTATTCCAAGATGTATTAACCCAAAATATCATTCATGAGGGAAAATCTAAATATGGCTCACCAAACTTATAAATTCACAAAAAAACAATGAGACCAAGAACAAAAATTGAAAGTACTAATCATGAGGGTGATGATAGTAGTAAATATTAATAATGAGATAATAATAAAACCATGAGGATGATAACAATGATAGTAGTAATAATAAGGATAATAATAATAATTAAGAGTGATTAGTAGTAATAATGATGATATAGTAATAATAATGTTAATATGAATGATAATAAAACAATATTAATAATAATGATAATAATTAATAATAATAATGATAAAATAATAATACATAAATAATAATAATAGATATAATGATAATAAAAAGATAAACGAGCAAAAAAGCCAGCTATTACTTCTAGAACATGTCGCCAGTCAGCAGTCAGTCAAAAGCTC